TTCAGATGGACAAGCGGAAAGATCCTTCTTCTGTGGACATTAAACAGGTCCTCCTGGAGATGAGGAAGTACCGCATGGGGCTCATACAGACAGCAGACCAGCTCCGCTTCTCTTACCTAGCTGTTATTGAAGGGGCAAAATTCATTATGGGAGATGCTTCAGTGCAAGTGAGTCCTATTGCCTGCACAGCCTGTTTTAACTCGAGAGGATACGTGGGATGAGCAGAGTAGAGAAGCCTTTACATTTCATGCTTGCTTTAGCTTCAGTAGTTTTTATGGGGTTCTTAAATACAGTGCTTTACGGTCTGTCACGATCTACAGTGTGGCATGTAAGAACCTTCACAAAAGTACCCATGATATAAGAGGTGGCCCTGTGTACTTTACAGCACCATAATTGGTGTGCAGACTGGCTTCACTGGCCTTGTGTTTCACTTGAGATCATAAAAACTTTCTAATATACCAGAAGTTGCAGTATCATGTTTAAATCTTCTAAGCTTGTTTTATTGCAAGCAGAACTCCAGCAGCACAGATTCTATTTTGCACTATTTGAATGTTACAGAAGTAGGTGATAATTTGTGCATTTATAGTGTTGTCTGCTGGATGTCGCTGAGGTTTGGAGTGCTTGTGTCTCTGTAAGTTCCTTTTTTCCAATGCAGATGAACAGGTATAAAGACCCTGCCATGTTAAAAGTTACAGTAGCTTACGTAAAAGAAATGGAGAAAAGCTTAATAGGGCTTTTTCTTCCCTGAAGGAACAGTGGAAAGAGCTCTCCAATGAAGACCTGGACCCACCTCCTGAACATACCCCACCACCTCCCAGACCACCAAAGCGAACATCAGAAATGCACAATGGAAGGATGCATGAACACACAGAATTCCTTCCTAAACATCAAGTAGTAGAGGAAGAGATGAGGTGTTTGGTCAGCACTGTGGAAGAGACAGTTCCAGATGGCAGAGGTCATTCATCTGTGCCGCTGATCACGGACAGGTAACGCGTTTAGTTTCCCCATTTTTAACTGTCCTAGAAGAGTGTCCAGTTGGCTTATGGAGTTGAGAGGTTGTAGGATGTTTGCTCATAAATAGTTTTTCATACAGAAGGGCTTGAACAGACCTTGATCAAGCTAGTGTAATAGTTCCAGCCCACACTCTTTTTAGTAAGGCTCTTATGCTCTTGTTCCTTTAACTCCACACATAAGCCAGGGCTTCTTACAGGATCCTGCTAGTAAAAGAAGTGACAGCATAATGAGGTGGTTCAGTCTTGATTTACGTGCAGTATATGTTAATTTACAGAGAAGCTCTTTCACTACTCAGAGGCAGGATTAGTCATGTGGCTGAAAACTAGGCTGCCTGGCTTTAGCCACAGTCAGAAACGTGAAAGGAATTGCATGCAAAGCTACTTTTGATGAAAGCAATAGAGTGGGCTCGTGAACAGAGGACTTTCTGCCTGTCACTGTAAGCTAAACTGTAAGGACTTGCTGTGTACATGACAGCAGCGAAGCCGAGGCTCCTGCCTGCGTAACCGCTAGGTGTCACTCCTGATTTACCGGAGTGCCGGGGAAGGGGATGATGCCCGCATGGCCTGGTGTTGCTGGCATCCGGCATGGTAACTAGTTGTATTCAGAGCAACCAAATGAACGGAGAGTCCAGCGCTGAGTGGTTATTTCCCTCCAGAACTGAATGTTTCTGTCTTTGTCCTTAAGCACTAGTCAAGACACTGAAATTCGGAGGAGAACTGTTGGTGAAAACCTGCATCTCTCACCCCGCAAAGAGGAGTCAAAGAAGTCGGAGAGCTCAGAAGAGGATGATGAGAACATGATGACAACCTGGAAGCCATTTCTAGTGAATATATGCATGTTCACCTTCCTGACGGCGGGAGCTTACCTCTGTTACAGGGTGTGTTTTCATTGATGGACGTGCCAGCAAGAGAGACCCTACAGAAAACACCACCGATTCCATGGGTTTGTAATCAGCTCCTCTGAAGGAAAGCGAATGGAGGCACCTGAGCCTCGTCTCAGTGGAGGTAGATCTTAGCTTGAAAGGCCGGAACTTTGGTTAGGGCTTAAAGAGAGAATTGATGCACTAGGGTTTTATCTAGCCCTGTGGTCCCAAGAACATAATATTCTAATCTCAGGGCCTTAAAATATTCAGGAGTAAGCAGAGAAAATGCCAAATAGTCTGTTTTCCTTTTCTTCCTTTTTTTCCTCTACTTCTTTCTTTTTTTTAGACTCAATAGTAGAACTACAACACATTGTTGTTTTTAGCCTTTTTTAAAAAGCCAGTTCTTGTTCTTTTTCTTTTGTTTCAGAAAAACTAGGCACAAGTGAAACTTGCTTGTACTCTCCAAGTGTTGTAACCAAATACATGACTTATATTGACGAGTTCCCAAAAACAGAAAAAGAACCCCACATACCTGAAGAATGTACCTTTTTGGAAGGGGAGGGCACTGGGGCCGGGTGTTGTGGTTGGGGTTTTTGGTTTAGGGGTTTTTTTAACTTGCTTCATCATTGCAGACTGAGTTGTGGGCAGTGCCTGTGGTATTGATATATTTAATCCTGGCATAACTGTTCTTAAAGAGCTTATTGTTTTACATGTGTTTATAGAAACAGGCTTCTGCATTTGCTCAGGGTATCCCAACATGTCAAGCTCTTTTTTTTTTCTTCTTTTCCTTTAATAACTGTATCCCCCTCATTGACTTTTGTTGCACTCTACTTGCACATGCGCCTATTTACATTGCACCATCCTCTGTAAAGCTGGTTTTACTTTTACATTCTGGGTTAGGAGAGGTTGAGGGGAGGGAGAGAAACAGGAAGGGAAATTCAACCAAAACATGTCCACCAGCATCGTGCAGCTGGCATTCAGACGGTCAGTGCTTAAACCTCATCATTTGGAATGTAAAATGCAGTTTCACTCTGCTCCGTAGGAATAGCTTACTGTGAGGGCAGGGGAGGTGACGTGCTCGGAGCCACCACAGGTGATGAGCAGGAAAGCGTTGCGTAAATCCAGAGCAATTAATGCTGGGGCAGCTTCCTTAAGACATAGGAAGCTCAACAGAAGCCATGTTGGTCTGTGGATGTATCGGTTGGCTCATGATGCAAACATTTGTGTGCTGCTTTGTTCAAAGCAAAGATTTAATGTACTGGCTTTAGTTCGGTTGAAGATTCACTCTTCAGCATCACGGGGCAGATGGTGCAAGGGGCAGCCCTGCACCTCTGCAGCAGGGGATGGGGATGCTGCCCCTGTGCCGCGCCCGGGACTCAAATCATGTAGAGTGCTTGTAAATAAGGATTTGGGTGCATTGGTAGAACTGTGACTGGAAGTCAGCATTGCACTAACACTTGTCAGTGCTGTTCCTCGCGTGTTACCAAATTATCAATGGAATGATAGCAAAGGTGTCTTTGCTTGCGTCATGGCGCAGAGGAGTAAACTCGCTACCGGCGGCTGTAGTGATTGAAACCATGACAGCTGATTCACAACAGTGTTACTAATCAGTTCTTCTTATTTTTAAAGTCTCTCTAGAGTGATAGCACTTAACCACCATTCTCAGTGCAAGCATCGCTATGGAGTACCTTACGTAAGTCTCTCCACTCCATATTTATTTGTGCAAAGCTGTCTGGGTGTAGCTCTTCCTTCAGTGAATAAGTTGGTGAATGGGGGGGTTGGGGGTGGGAGTTATTTCTATTTTGTGTTTTGTTAAGCTTGCATCAAGGGCTTTTCAAAAGTACAATAATAAATCCTCAGGTAGTACTGGGAGTCAATACTTTACCTGTGAGACTGTTGGTCAGACCAGTACTTGAAAGGAGGAATGTTGTAATCAGTCAATATTTAGTTATATTATTGGAAACATGAAAAATGAGTATAGAAAAATGGTAATATATAATGGCTCATCTGTGTATTTAAGATACATTATGTGATTGCTTTGTCCCCACTATTCTCTCCCATCATCTGGTAGAATATTGTTCTAAGGCAACATTTGTACCCCATTTGTATTAAAATGCATGTAAAGTCTTCTAGTGTCCTGATTAAATACCACGTGCTTGAAAGGTGAAAGAACTTATATTTCTGCTTCCTGATGTGCCCAGAAATTATATTTGCATGACCTGATCATTAAGTGGTTGTGGTTCCAAGGGTGTTGCTGAAAGTCCCTTCGTTCAGCGCTAGACTGGTTTGGTGTTTATCGGATAACATGTACTCGCCCAATCCTTGGCATGACTTCCTATTGAATTCCTGCGTACTCAGTGTAACCCGGTTGTTCGGCATGGTTCATTTCAGCTGAGTAAGTATAGTACAGACATTCCAGAGAGTTTAGTAAGCCCTACCCACACCTCACCCAGGGCACTGGGGGCAGGCAACAGCACAGTGAGTTCACGGGCTCACTGGCTGTGCTGCCACTGGAAGAGGAGGAGACGGAAACCTCTTGTGTCAGAGCTCAGTGGCAGCCTGCTGTGACCTGCAGAGATGCAGCTCCTGCAGCAGTGGCCCATTTGAAAAGGAAGACCTGGCACTGAAAGAACTGTCCTGTTCCCAGGAGGGAACATGCAATGTTAGGCCTGACAGGAAACCAGAGCATCCTTCCTTTGGGTGCAGAACCATTCACTTGGAAATCACTCTCACAAGAGAAAGCTTCTGCAGCTGCTAAGAAAAGAGTTCTGACCATCCCTCTTCCTGGTGTTTGCCATTTCTCCCTCTGTTCCAAACATCCCCTGTCCTACGATAGGCTGTGGAACATCCCCCCCAGCCTGGTGAGCTGTGTGTAAGGTTTATCCTACTGAACTGTATGCATTTTTGTTTCGATGTCCTGTATATGTATGTAGTAGTTTGGGTGTGTATATACAGTAGCGTTTCAAAGTGGGTGTATTGGTTAACCTGTTCTTGGAAAATGGACGAACATCCATGTTAAACTTGTTAGAAAGTTAGTGAGCTGCTCTGCTATATGCCTTAAGCAAATATTTACTCATCAGGTCTTTCTTTTTTACAGATTGCCATAGAATAAACTTTTGTAAAAAAAAAAAAAAAGAAAAACCCCAAAAAAGCTCAGTGTTTTGGTACAACAGTTGCAGGTCTCTGGGTAACCTGTACAGTTTTTCAATGATTTCCCATACGAGTTTTCAGTTCTCATTTTAGTTGTAACAATAAAACTCTTTTTTTAAAGAAGGTCCGTGCAAGTGGTGTTGCTTCCCCTCCTCCTGGGGTGAGGGCTGGCAAGGAACGGGATTTAAATGTTACTGGAAGAACTTACATGTAGGTCAGAGCTCCAGTGAGAGAGAGAGGTAAGTGAAGCAAGTGCCATGTCAGGGAGAGGATATCTGTCTCCCTGCTCTAGTCTTTCACTTTAAACAGTTAAATTTTAACCACTTTGGCCCAGGCAATCAGTGTGATAACACAAGTGTAGTAATACTCAAGGACAGGGTTTTCAAAGAGTTCCAGTTGTGCTGGAACTGGCTGCTGCAGTTGGCAGGCACCGGGTAGTGGACCCATATGTCCCTAACCTGCAACTCTCACACTGCCGTGGTGGTTGGCTTATTTACCTGTTGGTTTGTATCTTTAAGGGAGGCTACAACTGGAGAAGAGGTGCTTGGAATGAGAACTGCCAAAAGCTGCATGGAGTGGTGTTATATACAGGAGCTTTGTGCAGGCAGAAAGGTGACTGTGCTGCCCTGTCCCTTTGTAGGGACAGGGCACTGTGGGGAAGACAGGCCTGGGGCAGTGAAGAGCTTCCCAAAGTTAGAACTTCTTTTCCCTGCTTTTAGAGAAATCGGTACATTAAAAGCAAGCATCACAGCACAGGTAAGCAGCCTGGGAGGTTTTGCTTTGCTATGGTGCAGCATGACCCAAGCACTACACCCTGCTACCCAGCCCTCCTCAGTACAGCCTCCAGCTGTGTGAGCAAGCTGCACATCTCCAAACTCAACCCCGGCAGCAGCACAGCAGCTCAGCCTGTGTGAACCTGTGACAGACCGACCGCAGGAGTGGTGTGTGACACCCTGACTAGAGGTAAGATCCTCCCTTCCAGTTGGGGGTTACTGGCCTGTCTGCCTGTGCCCAGCACTGTGGAGCACTCACAGGACCTTGTCTCAAATGCTTTATTAGAACTGTAGAAAACAGGATGAAATCCAACAAATAAATACTAAATAGAAAAAGTTATGTATAAAAATATATACACACAAAAGCCAAACCCTGTCAAGTATTTTACCTGAAGCCAGGCTTCTTAGTGAGCTCACTGGAGGGTAGCCAATGCTGAGTAAGGAGCCTGACAATGCTGTATAATTATGAGAAGTTTTGACCTATGGCTAAATGAATACATTTTAAACCCAACAACAACAAACCAACTTCTCCAGCGCTGTCCATGTCTCTCAGACCTGCACAAGCCAGGTACAGTAACTGCTGAGGATCCATGTGTCAGTCCTTGCTTAGTCCCCTGTCCTAAGCTGCAATGATGATGAAATTGGCTGTTAAAGCTTTCCTTATGCAACTGAACTGTACAAGGGAAGGAAACACCAAGCAATACCACCGGCTAGTCTTTGATGGATGTGGCAGTTGCTGTAAATGACCTGGTGTCTGCTGGCTTCTAGATGGACTGCTGGAGAGGGATCGTTTCTCTCCTCTATAAGGAATAAATAGAGAACTTCACGGAAAAACAGCTCTTGAGCAGGGGCAGCTGATTCCTGTAAGGTGGGGAGTTTAACTCAACCTGGTTCCATATTCTAAGAGATCCCAGTTTTCATTTGTCCAGCACTTGGTATTTCATCATGTGCTGAGACAGTAAAGAAGTATTCCCCCCTGCTTCATGCAGACTGCAAACGGCCCCTTTGGGAATAGATCTGTGCTTACTTAAGCAGGGCATAAGTAAACAAGGTATTGATGAACACCACAACCAGCTCCTCAGGTACCCATGTGTGGCTGTGGGAACACCACGATGTGGCTCCTTGTCCCTGCTGCTAAAACACTGTGATTTCGATTTCAGCCTCTTGCTGTACGGTGTCTCTGAGTTCACAGCAGATCCTGTCCATCTTCTCAAAGGCTTGCCGGCCCTGTTCACCTGTGGGGAAGGAGAAGACGGCCCACACTGAGGACAAGAAAGCAGCCAGAAACACTAAAAACCAGGATTCTCTGGAAATGCTGCTGTTGTGACCTTGTTCAGAACAACAAGACCTCTCAGTAGTGACAAACACATTTCTAAGGGAATAGTTTCCCCAAAACTACTCAAAGCCACCATGGAAAAATCAGGCCTTCTGTAAACATTTCCACATGAGTAACAACTTGGAACATCACAGCTGGAAAACTTGTGTAATGCACGTGAATCTGAGTGTTTCCGAGAAGCAAGTCTGGAGATCCCCAGAACTTAAGTGTGAACTGAAGTGGCTTTGGGAAGAGGAGAAGAGGGAAACTGCTATCTCCTGAATAAACTGGACACCCTCCCCAGCACTCTGCTCAGCAGAGGCAGCCTGCGCAGCTCTCTGCCCTCAGCAGAAGCACAAGTACCAATGGCAGCACACAGGGAACACCCGTGTTTCATCACCGAAGGTCCCCTCCACTGCAGGTCTGCTGAGTCCAGGTGAATTAACAGGACATGGGACAGTGTAAAACCACTTTGTTTGCACTCTACCCCTCCAGTATTCAGAGTGGAGCCATTTGCAGAAGAGTAGGAATATCAGATGAGAAGTAACCAGTCAGTTTGTAGGTGGCTAAACAAGATTACCAGACCCACAGAGGTCTGTTCTTCTTTTGTTATATTTAAGAGACCTTTCAGTTATCCTCACTAATCTCGGAGCTGGAAGAGGCTTTATTGTGACCTGCCAGGTTCTAATGTCCTTGTTACATCTAGGAGAATGTTGCTGATGCCAGGACTACTGTTAGGCAGCACCATCAGTACTACTTGCCACCTTCTTAAAAGGAAGGTTAGTGGCTCTTAAAGCACTTTATCCTACAGTGATGGCCTTGGTCCTGTTCTGCAGACTCTAACAGAGCCTGTGGTTATTACATGTGGTACGAAGTTTATCTCGGTGTTTATGAAGTAGCTGCTGATAAAAGTTCCATTGTCCCAGATGTGTTCAGGCCTGTTCTGGTTCTGCACTATTTCATGTTACAGACTTACCAAAGGACAGTGTTGTTTCTCTGGCTGCATTCCTCACTTCCTCTGCTTCGGACTGGCACAGCTGGGCAACCTGCTCGATGCTCTCAACACCCTGTGTGAGAACAGAACAGTTTGCAAGAGTGGCTCTTCAGCAAGCAAGCTAAACACATCCAATACTGACTCCCACCTCTTCTTGCATCCGAGTTCTACTGTCGCCTTCCTTCCCTCCCCACTCACCCCCAGACAGATCAGTTCTGATCAGGCTCGCTAATTTAAGAAGGAATGATACTTCCTATCCTGTTTTAGGGCACAGAAAAAGAAAGTTCCCAGGTACAGGTCACTGCTGCAGCACCATTAAATCAGCACAAACCAGTCAGGACCTTCTCTGAAAGGGCAGCTGCAGGTTGTGCAAGGGCAGCGGTTTCTTTGCAAAGCCGATTTTGAGGACAAGACTCTGATTTTAAAGGTGTTTTTCCACCGTAGCTGATGCTATGATTTGTTGGGCCTGTCTTGTGACTTGTTTGTAGAAACTGTGCTCACAGTAATGCCTTGTATGCAAACTCACTACCAAACTGGCGGCTGGAAAGCTTTACATCTGTTCCGGCAGCTTCTTACAGCAGTGATGCAAATGTTACTGCTATTTCCTGGCTATAATCAGCTAGTGTTGAATATGAGATTAACTGATTTAACTTTCAATTTCTGCAGTTAAAGCTTTAGAACCAGCTCCACGTACAGCTCATTGGGGCTAATTTTTCTGCCTGCAAGATGTCCCCCAGTCAGACAGTGGCTGTTGTCCTTCACCAACAACAACGCTGTAGAAAGTAAACCACTCTTTCTACCACTGTACTGTGCCTCTCATATCAAACTGAAACACTCCCAGATCCCTGCAGCTCCCTGTGCTGCTGCCTTTTGAATAGCAGCATAATTTGTAACTTTGGCAATCAAAAAATTCATTAACTCACAAGACAAGGAAGCTGGAAAAGCAACCCTACTTGGCTTAAAACTAAAGCCAGACACACTTCTGCATGTGGCAGTTTGGGCCATATACTTACTCTGAGGTTTTTAAGAGCCAAACAAGCAGCTTGCTGAAGTCTTGTGTCAGAGTCAGCTAAAGCATCGGTGTAAAACAAGAGAGCCTGAATTGAAAAGAAAAAAAGGTTTTATAAACTACAGCATCATTGCACACTGAAATTCAACCTGACCTAAGTAAGCACTGCTGGTGTTACCAAGCTGAAACTGAGTAACAGACATGGACAAGGCATTTGAGTACTGATGTAGTTTAGGTTCTAGTTAGGAGGTCAGAGCGGGCAGCAGCACTGTCCCAGGACACCAGATCCACGTATTTCAGCATCCATTCAGACAAGCCGGGAAGATTTCAGCCTTTACCTTTTCCCTGCAGTTCCGGCTCGCCGCCGCACGGCACAGACAGGCCGTGGCCGCTTTGCTGACGCGGTGGTTGTCATCCAGCTGCAGAAGCCCCAGGAGCCGCAACGTCTGCGGCAGCGGCTGGAGCCGGTTCAGCCGCTTTCCTTTCAGCTTCTTAAGAGTCTTCAGCCGTCCAGGGCACTGCAGCTCCTCGATCAACATCACTGCAAGAGAAAGGGCAGCGTCACTGACAGCTGAAGGCACTACCAAGAGAAGGCAAACCCCTCTAATTCTCTCTCCTTTCACCACCAGCAGTTGTTCACAAGCGTAAGACACAAGCCAAGTGTGGCAGGAAGCAAATCGGGACAACTGGCCCTTTGGCCATCCTGTCTTCTCTCCCTGGCATTGTTTCATTTCCTCCTATGCCAAGACCATCTGATGAATGGAGCAGAGATTATTTCACACTATTAGTTCATGGAGTGCAGTGAAGCCCTGGGTACATCAAGTACAACATGCGGTGCTAAAGAACTGCACCTACTCCTACGCCTTTGGGTGTTAGGACAAGCAGACCAGTCTACAGTAAGGAAAACACCATTAAGCAAAATACTGTAACCATCCCTGGCAGATCTTGCTGTACTGGTCGAAGAGAAAAGCCTCTGTCTCTTAAAAAACAATGAGCTCAGGCACTGGATTTGCAGTTCCAGTTTGAAGAATATCCCAGGACTTCCTCCCTGGCCAGCACCACACAGACCTCAGGCACGCCGCAGATGACTCATCTGCATCAAAACAAGACTAAAGATGCAGCCAATATCAGGACTATTTTTAAAGTAATTCTCTGACACGGACCGAGCTGTAAGTGCTGTCATGTGCTGGACTCGTGCTACATGTGTAACCGCAGCTGTAACCAGACATAGGTAATAGCAAACAACAGTCACACAGAGCTGCAGACGTTTACGCAGCCCCTGGAGCCAGCCCTAGATTGCTGCCAGCTGTTTCTGCTTGAACTTCAGACTATTGCAGACCCACTCTTTAGGACACTTAAGAAACCCATCTTCCCACCTCTGCTTTGTTTTTACCTCGTTATGTATGGGAGCCAGGCTTGTCTTTCCTGTTCTAATTAAAGTTACCTGGTCAGAAGGGGAATTAAAATGGAAACATTGTCAATGCAGTGGTTGGGCTGCTTTCTGCTCTGTAGTGCATCCTGAGTAGTAACCGGGAGAGCAGCAGCCAGCTGCTGGGCTTGTCAGTTCAAGGGAGGGAGCCAAGCACTGCCCTTACCTTCTTTAGCAAGTTTTCCCAAGTGTTTCTCCAGGCTGGTGATGTGGTGCTTCTCCAGGTAGCTGTAAAATTGGAATGAAGTCACCAGTTCTGGTTGGAGGGGCAGGCAGGGGAGCAGCCCATCACAGGTGACAATCTGCTCCAGCAACCTCTGCAGCACTGGAAGCAGCATGGGAAAGAACAAAGGAGAAAAAGAAAGGTTGGTTTAATGTAAACTGCTTCAAAGAAGTCAGAGTTGTAGTTTAAAGTGGATAAAGACAATGTCCAGCCATGCAACAAAAAGAAACCTGAGTGGCAGCTCAGTACCTGCTTCTAACTGACGGGGGTATTTCTCCTTCACTTTGAGCATCAGGGTGTATTTTAGTGCGTGACGGAATCTTTCTGCTGAAGCAAACAAGATGCTGCTGGGCTCTGCAAGGTCACTCCAGATCTTCAGGTACTGCTTCTTCTTTTTAGTCTTCTGAATAACTGAAAAATCCCATTTTAAAGACAGTGAGCTCTAGCAGATTTTGGATTTCACATGAGAAAAGAGGCACCAGATGGCATATGTCGAGATGTGTCAGCACTGACTTGTGTTTGTGTTCTGTAGATGGCTTTGTTCAAAGCCGGAGATTTGCTGCCAGTATTTTAACATCTGCAAGCACTGATTTCACCAGGCTTGGGCTGAGCTCCTAAGCTGTCATTACAAGACCTGAATGAGACACACAGCAGCTCCTCTGCCTTGTGTTCATTCATTTTATCCAAGTCAAGTTTCAGAAGTGCTTTGTGAGTTGAACTGTTTCCATTTCTATCAACCAGAGCTGTGCCATATCCAAGCACTTTAGAGATCCTGTCTTATCTACCTTCACAAGGGGAGAACTCTGAACCTCAGTGCAGAGGCTGAGGCAGGCTTTCCTTCAAAGGAAGAAGAGCACTTCAAGCAATACCTTGTGGCTCCTTGCTATTATTTAAACCCTTTCCCACTCTTACCTTTGTGTTCTGCATTTAAAACTCCTACACTCTCCTCATCATGCTGTACCACAGGCCTTTCAGAGCTTTGCTCCAGGGAAGGGTTTATTCTCACATCCTTCAGCATAAAATGTGTCAGCAAATGCTTCCAATTAAAACCTGTATTCCTGCCACTCTATTTACCAAGATGAGACCAAAAGTGTTCAGTCTCCCACTGGGCTGTTATCATTTTGTCACCTTCAGCAGTCAGTGGAAGTGATTGAGTAGTGGGAAGGCCCAAGATGGGAAAAACTGCACACCAAACTTTCCTTGCACATTTGGGCTGTTTGCTTTTATGCAGTAAGCAGAGCCATAAAAGAGGATTTTATTAAGGCTGTTACAATGTTCTTCGACTGCAAACTCCGTCATCCATAACATCCCTGTTTTTAAGACAAACCAGTTCAGCTACTAGGTCTGAGACAAAGTTCCTGAAATCCTTTCCTTCCTTGCAGAGGAAAAACAAGCAAACAAGGAGCCCCGTTTTCCCTGAGAATCCAAGCTTAAGAGCTGGTTTAATTATGTGAATGTGTAAGACATTCAAGATGAAACCTGATGTGTCTGGAGAAGCTTCAGCAGAGTCACCTGCCCCTCTCACACCTCAGGCATGCCTTGGAACAATGCAGTTACTCACTTTCTTCAACAGACATATCCAAGACATCACCAAGGACCCGTGTCTGCTCCGACACTTCTTCCAGGATGCTCTTCTGGACAACCTGGGCTACAGTGGGTGAGCTCAGTTTCTGAAACACAACATGCTTATCTTAGCAGCTGGAACAAAGGCAGCATCGAGCACAAGATGAATGAGGGTTTGTTCTTGGAATCAATCTCCTGTAATCTATGAGAAAACACACAGCTGCTCTCAAAAGGCCTCTTTGCCCATCATGGGACGGATGAGTCCTGAGTGCAGAGCTGCTCAGCAGAATAGGATGAGTGAATCACAGTGTGCTGGCACAGGCTGGCTGGCACTTGATCCTCCTCCACCCTGTCCATTGACAACTGCAGAGCAGATCAATACTAATTGTTACACTGTCCTCTGCTGCCCATCCTCATCAGAGGTAATACTTTGAGGACGATAATGTGCTTGAGCACTGTAACTGAAATTAATTGAGGAATGAGGTCTCGAGGGGAGGCAGGAGTTCTTTCTTGCCTACATGCTGCCAGTTTCATTCTAGAAGTAGCAGTTTTCATTCATTAAGAAATTGATCCCCTGTACTCAATACACAATTCAACTCAAATCTGCCCTACTGCATTAGCAGCCTGCTTGGGACACAAAGGTATTACCTAGAGCTTCAGCAAAACCCAGAGGCTGAAATAAAGCAGCAGTTTTGTTCTGAGCATGCACACTGCATTTCTGGACTCAATTTCTATTCTGAGCCTTGTTTTATAAAGGAGCCAGCTACGTATTCATTTTTGTAACTGGAATCAAAACCACAGGCTCTTCCTCACCTGCAAAAGGCCTTTGCACAGCTTCAGATGAGTTACCAATAGTGTGTCTAAGTTGTCATCACCTGTAGTTACATCTCTTGTTTCTGTTCTCATGTCACAGCTCAGGGACTGCAGTGTGTTGTCATTGTATGTGCTGTTGAGGAAAGAAAAGAGAAGAGAGAGTTAAGACTCTTATAGCTAAATAAGCTAAAGATGCACAGTCTCAGCAGCAGCCTGCAAGCAAGCTGCAGAAGTACAAACCCTGTGGCATTTAACAGATCTCAGACTTTTTTTTATTGCATTGATAACACTTCTTAAAAATATGAGGACTTTAACTTTTTCCAGTGCAGTAATGCTGGATCAGTTGATCCCACAAAATCCCATTCTGGAGAACCAATACTGGTAAAAGATGTTTCCAGATAGCATGAACTGAGTTGCTGGCTCATCTGCAGCAGGTGAGGTGCAGAAGCAGCACACAGACAAATCCTGTGGTGCCTCCCAACTCGCTGATAGTGAGAATGTAATAAGTCTCCCAGGATCAGGCTCATAGCTCTGGAATGTTCCATTTCAGTGCACAACCTGCAAAACTGAATTCAAATGAAGCAACAAGTAGAAGAGCTCTGTAAGTTACTCATAGATAGGGTAGCGCTGTCTAGTATCATCCTGATCAGCCTGTTTGCTGCAGTCTCTTTCTAGCAGGTCTACACATTAGGCACTTCCATCACACTCTGTGGGCTATTCTGAATCTTGGAGTATTCACAGCAATTGGTTTCTGCCCAGAGCTGCAGCTCTGCACAGCTGTTACACAACTGTGCAAGGCAAGCACAGTGTATTAGGAGGCATTCCCAGGATCAGCCCTCCTTACCCCCCATAAGGAAGTGCTGCAGACGCATACCTGATACTGGCTGTCCGTACGCTTCCGAACAACGAGAGCTCATCAGCGCTGCAGTCAGCGTTTAAAAAGTCAAAACTTTCCAGTACTGTCTCCACCATTAAGCTTTCCATAGATGAGTGTTTGTGATGAAGTGGCTTTAGCTGTGATGGAATGGGAGGAAAGATGCTGTTATTTGTAGTTATCAAGCCATTCTGCATGAGTTCTTGGCAGTTTTTCCAGTCACTCTTAATAACAAATCAATTTGCTTTTCTGATTTCATTCCTGCCACACCAGGAAAGTTACCTCCTGCTCCAGACTGATCCAAAAATAGTGTTCTAATTGGATTCAATATGTGCTTCTGTATTTTGACCTGTCTGTATTCCTCTCTGGATTTCCCTGCCTGTTCAGGTTGACATAAGAGCTGATTTCCTCTGCATCTTGTGCCACTTTCCTTTACTCCCTGTTTTAGATCTTGAAGTAACTATCTTAGGGGTCTGTTACATTCCAGTAGTAACCAAGAACTCTGATATCAATAATGGACTTCATGGGGCCAGTAACTTTCTTCCCCTTGGAAAGGCTGCTGTGAGAGCACTGGCTAACACCATTTATTATTCCAGACCTCAGAGGAAGCCTTACAGTGTCTGTATCCCACATACAGTGCTCCCAGGTTTGCAGAATAACCCACTGCTTGCAGAAAGCTCTTCTCCAAGACCTTTACTCCAAAGAAAGAAATGTTTTCAGCATCATACAACTTGTCAGACAGTCTGAGCTGCCTGCAAAACCTGGGGGACCCTGGAGAAATGTTTGGTTTGAACTGATGCAGTCATCTCCGGGTACACTAAATCTGAAAACATTAACAAAACTCGGAAGCAGACAAAATGCAGAGGCTGTGGCACACACTGTTCACACCCTGCTGAGCCCATGCTTGCTTCCACTTTGACTGCAGGCAACATCCTAATTTCTTTTTCACAGTTACTGACCTGCACACAGCACCCGAGGGCTGTCTCTTGAGAGGGACTGTGCAACATCGGGCTCCGCTGTAGTCAGCTCTCAGGGCTGTCTTTTCCGAGTAGTGCCTGACCTCTGGTGGCCAAACTTACTTTCTGGGAACACTGCTACTGCTACATCAACTCAAATCCACTGCAGTCATGGAACCTCTGCAGTTTTAAGACTACCAGTGGGAGCTACACCATCTACCAACAGTAAAACTCCAACATACCTTTAATTTATCCCTCAGGGATGAGACCTGGTATTCCAATTTCTCCAGCTGGGCTTGCACCACATCGTGTGATTTCAGCAAATTCAACACTTCTTGGAGAGTCTTATCAATTGACTTTGTATGTCCGTCTAGCTTTAGGTCATTTGCAGTAGTCAAGCTTTTCTGGCTGAAGTCTTCATGCTCTGTCAGACGGTGGGTTCTGGTCTGGTGGAAAGAATCTCCACCTTTGTGACGACTCCGAAAACTCGGTGGGTTACTTGGAAATCCATCCACACACGGCGTCTTCTTCAGGATATCCAGAGTTGTGTGATCTGGAAGAGGATGCTGCCGCTCTTCTGCACAAGTCTCTTGGATCATCACCAATGGCAACGTCCTGTGGTCTAGAGCTGGAGTTGCAGTTCTGGATTCCGTCCCTTTCTGATCCTCAGAGCTGAACGAGTCTGCCTCGCTTGTCTCTGCCGGGGTGCAAGGCTTGCTCCTCCTATGCACATCGAAATCACAGGCAGCCAAATAGCTCAGTATGCTGGGAGGCTGAGCATCACTTCCATCCGCTTGGCTCTGCCTTTGTTGCAAAACAGACTGCGGCAAACAGATTCAACAGTGAGCATAGAGACAATTGAAAAGCATGAGATACCACCGAAGATAGAGAACTAAGAGAACTGTGGGTTCCTGTTCTTGGAAATGTACACACCCAACTGATCAAAACCACAGGGCTCTTCTGCACAAGGCAGCCAGGCGAGTGTAGATTGGACAAAAGAAGGCTTGATGGTTAGGTGAACATATCAGTGATGTTATTAGCACTTGAGATATATGGCAGATTTAAAAGGGTCATGTAAAACAACCATTAAACCAAACCCCTCTCAAATGAATGAGTCAAGTCTTAGGTCTGTGCTTTGCATTCTGCTCTCCTCGGCATACTCACCAGGTAGTATTTCTCTCTGAAGCTGGGAGTATTTGGTGGGGTCCAGTTGTATAATGAGCTTTTCCTGCTACTCACAGAAAACTTGGCAGTGGTTCCAGGTGACAAGAACAGGTTTTCTGTGTCAAAGGGGCTGTAGAAAGAGACACAAAGACCCAAGTGTCAGTAAGTCCGGAAAGCACAGAAACATTTAGCAGCAGGAATAGCCGTTAGGATTGAACTGTGACATTTACTAAACAACACGGGGAATAAAAGGAAAGCAAAACTGCCTCTCTGACCAATACTTTTGATTGTACCAGAGAAAGAGGTAGGCAAAACGATTCTGTGTTTTACACGGAATTCTCAACACCCTTTAGACAGAGACATGTGCCACAGTCTTGGGAATAGGAGTCCAACAGGGCATAAATCTGAAGCACTCTCTGTCCCCCTGCCATGTCCTACACAGTGCTGGCAAGTACAGCATCAGCTGCTTGCCAGCAGCCACTGGACAAGCAGCGAGATGTATACCACATCCGACATAGGCAGGAATTATAACACATGTAAGAAAGGAAAACTGCCATAAATTTCCCCCCTGCAGAGCACATAGCACCTGAAAAAGCTACTAAAAACCTCCACCTTCATTATCCTTCAAATATGAATAAACAACTCCTTTGGCTGGCAGAGGAAACCTGTGCGCTGGGATATGGCAAGTTGTGTGGTTCATACAGTCATGGACAAGTCCAGTTCCCAGAGGATACCAGCTATGGTCTAGAAGAGCTTGACAAGTCCCACTCTAAAGACTTCCCACTTACCTACTACATCACAGCCATTAATTTCCCAACTCCTCTGCAAAGAGTCTAAGGAAACTTGGACAAACTGCCTCCCAAAATTCAACTCAGCTAACCAGGAGAAGGAGAGCATATTTTAAGTTACTTAAAGCAAGTTTGGGGGGGGGTGGGGTGTATTACATGTTACTTTTGTTCCCCACCGATATGCCCTGCGGCATGAGGACTGAGTTTGGTTTTCCATTTAGGAAAACAAGTTAATGGTTTATAACAAATGTGTAATCCCACAGATATGAATGTAACGAGCAAAGAGTAAGATAAAGTCAGCTGCATTCAGCTGTACAGCACGGAACCACTACAAGTCTGAAAAGATCCAAACAATCACAAGGACTAATCAATTACATGGAGTGGAACTTCTGCTCTCCAGCAAGAGCTGAAAAGCAGAGCTCCAGTTCTCTCCAGCTTCTCCTGTTGCACAGGGACAATTCTCAGCAGCATCCTGCAGTGTCTTCCTCAGCATGGAGGCATCGCTCTGTGAGCTTACCTAATGCAGGTTAATTGTCTACATGAATGCTGTCACCAAGCTGGGGTTCATCAAGCAGGCCGGTTCCATGGAGTTACATCAACCACCATCTGCATTGGCTCACCATGCAGAACATAAATCAGGTTTCTGACAGCGAGAGCCTTTTAGGCAAAGCCTCCTATGTTTACTGATGGAAGAAAATTATGAATCCCATCCATGGCATTTCTTAAGAAGAGTCACAGGGGTCCATTCCTCAGATTTTTCATCTTCAGCTTTTACTATAGCAATGCAAAATGACACTTTGGAGGAAAGGGGCAGGAATGACAAGCTAAATCTCTTTTGCCCTTTTGACAATTACTGAAACCCACTGGCAAAATACCACTATTGAGCTGCCTCCAGCCAAGCACATGCTCCCTGTTACTGCAAGATTACAAGGTGAGAGAGCAAAGCAATGGGTGAAGGAAAGAATGAAATCTGGTCTAAAGCATCTGTTCTCCCCTGGTTGTAAGCTCTTTGGGCATGATACATTGTCTTGTTCCACATTTGTGCAGCAAACAGAACACCATACTGGGGCAGAGCTGTGAATCCATCTCTCCCAGCACACTGACATTGACAGAAGCCAGTAGGGGATTTTCAGGGGAAAAGCACAGGAAATAAGTCAAATCTAGTAGGTTTTCCCCAGACACACACTCAAATCTGAGGCAATCCATAGTTCAGATCTGTCATGCAGCAGACTTCACAAGCAGACTATTGCCTTTAGCTGTCACCCGCTCTTCCTTAGTTTGTCTGGTCACTTCCTGAAATCATTGACACAAAAACCTCTGCAGAAGTCAAGTCTGCAAAAACTTCACTATTTATTTCACTTGAAATTGTGGGACAAGTACTTTGCCATGGGGGTCTTTTGTGGCTGTACTGAGAGAAACAGTGGCTAACCATTTACTTTCCACATTCCCCACAGTGAACATCGCTATGCCTGTACAGTGTTATCCATCAACACCTTTCCAACACTGAGAAATTCTATTAAAAAGTGAAAGTGGCCCCATGTCTGATCATCTTCGTTGCCCCAATTCTATTTCTATATTGCCAAACATGCTGGCCTTTGGTTATGACTAATTACAATGCTGGCATTAAATGCATGACACTACAATGCCATCCAGGCAATCTGAAGTAGCACAGAACTTTCCCTTAGCTTACCCTAGCACTGTTGCAGGACTTTAGTGTTCAGGACCAAAACACACAGCCCCATCCTGACCCTGAAGGGGTTTACAACTCATTAGAGCTCCTGTTTCCTAGATTAAACCAACCATGACATCAGAAGCTTTGCATCCACACACATCTGAGGTACCTCAGACCTGCCAGCACTGAGCATGGATTCCCAGCGAGATGCTGTTTTGTGACAACCGCCAAGGCTGTGGAGTGATTAAATACTTGAGACTTCTGTCAGTTCCCTGACCCTGCTGCATTTTTCCATTGGGTGATGTTCTCAGAATGTAAGTAATCAGACAGAGCATATCAGAGCTGAACCCAATTCAGTCCTCAGCCCCACAGGGCTTACCTTCCTTTCTCTCACTGCCAAGACTGTGTCCTAATCACTCCCCTTCTGTCCAGTCCCTCCATGTATTAAACACCACCGTCCAGAAGGACTCTGAATAGACCTCTCTGAATCCCACTATTAAGCCTGTGAATCCACACTTGCATTAAATCAAAGCACCACCAATTCTGGTCAACTGGACTGAACTCGCTGTTAATCATGAGATTTCTTTTTTCCTAGTGAACACCAGTGAAAATACCCACACAACTTAAACAGTGTGATTATTGTTAGGTTTCACCTACCCCTAATGCATAATAAGCACCAGCTTCAAGGTCAGTACAGCTGAACACAAGACTACGCTATGAAACATCACTCCCACCAGAAAGCACGTTTCCATCAGAAGCACAGATGTGGACTAATGGCTAAAGATACCTGCAGGAGTAACTACCCAGTCACGTAAGTTTTCATCTGTAAGAGCAAAACTGTCAGTAGATTTGTATCCAGAAAAAACAGACTTTCCTTTCTTATTCCCCCTTAAGGTTTTTTCCTCCGCAAAGGCCTGTGAGCCAGGCCAGCACATGCTCAAAGCAGGCAGAAAGCACAAGAGTGGTTCTGGCTGGCTGGCACCCTTAGATCCCAGGACAGGGTGCTAACTGAAGTTCTGTAAAGAGAATACAGGCTTTCTCTTTGTCCTCCATATGAGACACAGAATTCAGACTGCTATTTAGGTTGGCAAAAAAACCAAAGTCTTCTGCCAAACTGGCCAAGAAAGCCATTCTGCAACAGGCCCAAGGTCATTCACGGCATAATCTATAAAGGAGCTGAAGGAACTTTTGTTAGAGCCCAGAAGACTAGTGGTCTATTTAAAGAAAATATACATTTAGAAGTGGAAGACTGATCCACACTTGGATTTCTCACAAAGCAGGTCTAGATTGAAAGCTTGCCTCTTGGGGAAGTTTGGGCGTATCAGCTGGATTTGTTTAGTTATTCTTAAACCAAAGAAAAAAGCAGCTGTTGAGTGCTCTGCCTTTGAAAAATACAAACACCATGAGTTATCACCACACAACTTCTCCTCTCTGTAAGCAACTTCAGCAAACAGGCTGTCAAAGAGGAGCCTGCCAGTTCTGCACAGAGCTGCTCTGGAGAACCCACTTGGTAGGATACCAGTGCATTTCACCAAACTTAAACACAGCAGAGACACAGAGTTCTCATACACTGAAACATTCCAAGTGGGGATTAACCCCAAAAGAAAACGTGTCACCACTAACCCTGTTCCCAGCTCTGCTGTTGACAGCTCTAAAGCTGAGTGATGGTTGTCCCAAATGCCACAGAATTGCCCATCTCACTGAGCAAAAGCTGTGCTCTAAGCTGTGAGCTACTCCAGCAACCAAGGGGCAACAGAATTGGAACTGTAGTTTTCTAAAAAATATACATTTAGTTACAAATAGAATTTGTTTTGGAGATTCAAGCCATTATCTGAGAAACTGCAATATCCCAGAATAGGAAGGGGTTTTTCCTCAAATAGTGCCTTCTGCAAGAACAATTTCTGTGCATAACTATTTATGCAAGATACTGACAGTGAGGAAAGTCAAACAGACTCAGCAAAAGCAGATGAAGTGAACTGATCTGTTAGATGCTATTTGTGTGGGTTAACAAGAAGAGAGTAAAAGCAATTCTTCCAGACTCTACTCTGAACGCGCCATCTCTCAGTATAGCACTTCCCATATTAGGGCAAAACCAGATTTTAAACCCTGCTCAATAAAGGATTTCTTCTTCACTGCACAGGTGAAGCTTATGTTCGGCTTGAAATCAGGGAAAAAGGGACTTCCTTTACAAGAGTGCCTCTGCAAGGAGAGGGTTCTGTCTGCAGTCCTTTCTGCTCTGAAAAGGTACATAGAGCTTTTGATCACTTCACATCTAGATTAAAGCCAAGACAAGCTTTGGTGGTGTGTGCTTGTTGAAGGGCGAATGATGACAAATAAAGGCATCAGACTTTGCTGGGGAAGTATGACAGCCTGTAAATCCTCTTATGCCCCTCTTCTCTCCTTCCTTCCCCAATACTAAGACATACAAATGTCAAAACAACATAATACTTTAATTGGCTTTCACCTAAAAGGGCTGTCATTTTAAGAGCTACTTTTACTTAAAAAAATCCTAAACATAATGCAACTTGCACCATCCCCACTCCCTACAGTTTGCAATAACTCTGCCATGAATACCTCTGCTTTCAGATTCAAGGGGGAATACATGCATAACTTGGCATGAGTAAGAGGAAGTTTCATAGGGAATATAATGCAAGATCACAGCAAGCTTCTGGAATGAGGTTTTGTTACCCAACTAATTAGTGGCTCAGCTTCTCAAATAAGAAACAGAAGCCTCAAAAGTCTCAGAGCAGCTGCAGCACCTCACCAAAACATATACTGATGCCCAGTGTTAGATCTCAGGAGGAAAAGGTGCTGTAAACAATGGGTGCAGGCAAAACTTTGTTGTGCAAGTTTCTCATCAACTCAGAACCATGAGTATGTTTGAAAGTAATTTCCAGATGCTGCTGCCAAGACTCATTTTTCAGCCCAACTGCAAGTACAAATCAATAGTAAATTTCAAGAACCACAGCACGCACAAAAGACCTTCAAAAAACAGTCTGTTGATCAACAAAGCTTTTCTTCCCCCAACCCCAGAAATGCAACCTCAAAGCACCTGAACAGCAATTGCAACAGAAAACTTGTGGCATTCTCATGGTGGTGGCTGTAAAAGACTGTGATAAGGGTTAAGTCAAACGACGCTTCCAAAGGTAATGAAAAACAAAAACAGGTATTAAAAACCAAGTCTGATTATAAAATAATTTGGTCATTACCCTGAGGGCAGGAAAACTTTTCTCTAACCAAAAGATCTCTTTGGGCATATTTGGCAGATCACACATTCAGCATACACAAGCTTTGTTATTTTTTGGCAATTCTTAAAAACCAAGAAAGACTCAACAGCTGTATAAGGCTGAGCCATGGAAGCATCTGGCCTGCAAGGCACAGCTCCATGCCCTTGCTCATTTGAACACTGTTAGGTTTCTGCTTCTCCTGGATCTACAAGTCTAGATCCACAAGTCATCACAAAGTGGCCTTTTAAGAACGTCCTTATCACACAGGTGCGTGCAAATGTTTCTTTGCCATGTTGAATTGGGAAGAACTGAGGGCCGCATTAAGCCATGTACAAGTGTAGAGCGCCTGCTGTTTCACTGGGCACATCACTAAGATGGCCAAATTTAACCCAAACGAGTAAATGGAAAACAGGTTAAGAAGTTTTGACTTGTTGCAGACAAGACTCACAGTATGGACTGACAGTGCCATAAAGCAGAAATAACAGCACTACCTCAAAAATCCATGGTGGTGTGCAGAGACTGAGGAAGAAGTTCCAGTGCAGCACCCACAAAAGTCAGAATTTGCTTTTAATAACTTCAATAATCCACTACACAAATTGACTTACAGGTTCAAATTATAAAACAATTTGACAAATCACAGGGACCATGAAAATCCTCAGCTATTTTAAAAGTGCATTTGTAACCAAGCTTCCCTGCAGTGCACAAACAGACCTTATATTGATAACTGTAATAATCACAGTGCAAATATAAAGGTACTAAGTCTTTGGGAAAGCTTCATTTTTGACAAACTGTGGCCTGGTACTAGTGATTGTCCTAAAATTGCAAGTACATATTTTTTCATTGTGCATAGAAGCTGCTATTTTCAGTATTATTTCATCATCTTTAAAATAACTGTTCATGTTTTATAGGTGTACATACATTGCTTGGAGTTAGACTTGAATGCTCATTCTGAAGCTAAGTGGTAAGCTAAGTAAAAGCCTACTATCAATTCACATGGCTAGCCATGGCTCTAGCAACATCAACACATAGAACTAAAGGGTGATAGACACAGCTTCTGTCCCTTTCCCCCTCCCCTTCACAAGGACTGGTGCCACAGATCAAGCACAGGAGGTGGGGTTGCTGTGAGGAAGCACAGGGCTGCTATATAGTGCACCTGCTCTGCAAATAGAAAGAGGACTATGATGTTGAATGCTACTAAGTGAGATACTTGGGAGCCTTTAATTTATTTCAACTGTTCAGCTCCAGCTTTATCTGAAGCTGTACTTACTTCCAGAGGACCTCCAGCTGTAGCTTGATGGTTCCCAGTTCAGTTATGTCCACAATGATTGCCTGAGGCTTGGTTGTAAAGAAGTTTATGCTGTCACACGTCACAACACCAACTAGAATAGTGGCCAGTCCTCGTAGCTCTGTCACCTGCAGGGACAAACACATCCATTTTCATCTTATCAGACAATCCTCAGTCACGTACATGGAAAGAAGAACACTTCAGGCTCAGATCTGCTCCAAGGCCCACAACAAACTTAAAACCTCAATACTCAGTTTTGGGCTCCTAAACTGTTGAGAGCCAATATCCCCACAAGGAATATGTTGTAGATGGCTACAAAGGAGGAGAGAAAAGCTGGGGAGAGAGCTGTGCAGCACATCTGACAAGAGAATTTGGTGGACTCTGATTTTAAGAAAAATTAAGTCTGAAGTTTGGAAATTCTAGCTGAGGTATACATACAGACAGTCGCTATTAGTACAGTCTAGCTTGTCTACACATTGTAACAACACTGTCAAAAAAATCTGTATTACAAAGAAGTATATTACCCTACCTACACTAGACTATGTCAGCTCAGTTGCCTAAAGGATCTGGAAGCATAACTGTCTGAAAGGTCACAGTGGATTCTAGTTGTCCTAAACTCAGCTGAGGACCAAAATCAGAACTGTGTCAGTTCTCTCCTCCAACTCTGCAGGTGGCTCCGAGTGTGTTAGCAATGCATTTGCAGACCTGCATTTTCCCCAGGCTGGCACTTTGCTTCTTCAGCTACTTAAAAAAACAAATGACAAATCCAGTCAAACACTTGCTTAGTTCCACATGCTTCCAATGCAGATCAAATTGTTTCAGAAACACATAAATCACACTCAGCACAGAGTCTGAGAATAAACGACTGAAGTCCACTTAGGAATTAGTTCCATGCCTGTATCTCCTTTAAGGTGGAGCAGAATTATGTTGCCAGGCTCCTCTTGGAACACTCTTTGGCACTTCTCAATTTTATTTTTTAATTTTAAGCCTGCTATGTATTTGTACTGGGCAAAGATGATTAAGTACAAAGTGGAAAGAGCAGGAGGGTGTGGAGAACATTAGTCAGCTTAAGAAAGTCTTTTCATAAGCTGACAAAAAGAATAAAGCTATCATTGTCACACAAAGCAATACAAGGCTTTACAGCTATTATGGGAAAACGGGGATCTGAATTAGCCTCTCACCTGATATTCATTGTGCAGTGGCAGCAAAAAAAATGCATTATAAGTACATTTCCAAAGGCTGTTAGGGCAAGATGCCAAAAAGTCTCTCCTATGTAACCCAGTTTTGCTGCCAGATTGGAGGGGAACATTGAAATAGCTGCTTTAACAGAGCTGCCAACACTTGAAACGCTGCACTGGCACTGTTTCCTAGTAGAATAGGATCCAGCACAGCCTTCGATCACAGCTCCTTTTAGGTTGACAGGAGTCACGCTGCAATGTCCAGCCCACAAGAGATGCCAGACTACAGTGGCAATGCTGTTTAAGGATTAACTCCACCTGCCAGGTAAGTACCAGAACCAATGCCAAAGGCAGCTGCACAAGGGTCTATGAAAATTACATACTTCCCTCAAGGGGTACTCATAATGTGTCACCTTCACATCACAGGCCACTAGCACTGGGCCCTTACTGTTAGGGATATGATTTTTCTAAGGCACTTTAGAGTTCTGATGCTTTTTTTTCCCTAAATAAAGATACCAAGTACAGACTGTTTGTACCAGTGCATAAGTGCCGTTGGTTCTTTGCAGATACGGAGCATCTCTAGATTAAAATACAACAACAGAATCTGCATTGTCCCAGAGAAAGGGACATTTAAACTACAGAGTCAAACCCTACACACATGCAATAATGTTTTCCATATACGCAATTCTCTTTCAATAGAGAACAGAACCCCAGGGAGTTAATATTCCACATGGGTCATAAATAATATCTACATACACATCTTTTTGTCTCCACGTCTAGACTTCACCTTAGAAAATCCCAGATATTGATCTAGGACATAAAAACAAAACAACCACACACAACAAACATACACAACCAACCACATATACCAGACTCCGCAACACAGGAAAGCGGATGCACCAATACAGTTACAAGTGCCAAGAAAAACAGAAGTAGATGTCTGTTCAGTAGGCAGAACATTGCTTAACTGCCATTGTTACCTGGCTAGGAAAAGCAAACTACTTCAGAGGTTTGGCAAATATCTGGCAGCCTAACGGGTCAGTTATATGGTAGAAGACCTGTTAACCCACTGATTCCAATCCAACCATTATACACCACACCTTGATTTCAAGCTTCTCATGGAGATTCGGTATAAAGATCTTTTCTTCTTCATCCCATGTCTGGCTGTCATCAGTCTCAATCTTGCCTTTCAACCTCCATTTTTGGCGCCCCAGTCGCACAAACACCTAGAAACCAAAGAGAAAATGATGTTGGGTCAACATATTCCAGAATGTTCCCTTCAATCCACAGGCCTCACATTGTGCCAGTACTGCAGAAGTGAAACCATTCCTTTGATCACTATACATTTAGGAACTTTCATAAAGCTAGAGAACTGGAGGCAGAAATTCAGATTGCAGGTTTTAACACTTGAACTCAGTACCAAATGACATGTCCCACCCATTCTAGAACAACTGCAAAGCTATGTTGCATAGTAAGTGTAGGGGTACTGAAATAGAATGCACACTGGAATTCATTTGGAACTGTTAGAAGTAGGAAAGCAACCGAGTAAGATCCTTGGATGCATTCAAATCATGCCAAGGGCAACCCAGTAAGATACTAGGACGCATTCAAATCATGCCAAAGGCAACCTTCCAAGAAACAGACAGCAACTGTTATTTGATTCCAGAGCAACTCTGAAGACAAAGACCTGACAGGTTGGCTTTGATAGACAATCACTGCAGTCTTTTAAACCCCCTAAGACTTGAATCATACCTTTCCCTCTTCAATCTCAGGGAGCAGAGTAACTAGTGACTGTGCTAAAGCACTTTTCTCATCAGAACAGTGCAGTTTTATCACAGTCCACTTCCTGCCTGCCTTACACATGTTGCACCTTTGCTCTCCTGTTCCTCCACTGCAAACTCACAGCAGTAAAATAAAGGACAAAATGAATTGCTGTATACTGCACCTCATACTGGTCCCCTGGGCAGAGACGTGCAAAGCCCACCAACCCTGAAAAGAGAAGGAAAATTCTAATACTTGTAGCATTTTACAATGTCCCCCAAAGCCTCAGCTTGCAATAAATAAAGCAACTACCTGGCTAACACCCCCTTGCGCTTAACTGTGCAGAAGCTACACCACTGGCCCAAACTACTCTTAGAAGGGCAAACATTAATTGAGTTAAAGAAAGAAAGCTTGTCAGATTTTGTACTCAAGTATAGATACCATTGCAGATATGGTTTATGGCACCAAAGCAAACATTAATTTCCCAAAGTTCTATTAAGGGTCTCATCCAGAAAGCCAGTGGAAGCAACTGCCATTAAGTAAGTGTACTCTCAGTGGATCAGATTGTTACATAGGAAACCCCCAATCAACTGATGATTCTTGAAAGAAACAAAAATGAACATACCTTTCATCTTCAAGTGAAACTCTCCCAAATGGACCTCCAATGCCCCTTCTATAAAGCACATGTCCTAGAAGGAGGAATGAACAGTCACTATGACTGAAAAGCAGCACAAAGTAGCTACCTTCCCATAAAGGCTATTTTCTTTAATGACTTCTTTTCTTATTAGACACACAGTAACATCTTCACTAGGGGAGGCTGATAAAGAGTCCATTCATGCTACTTTTAAGACAGAAAATTATGATGTTGCTCCACAGAAGAATGTGACTACTTCAGCAGTTCACTGCCAGTTACCTTCCACTACTTGTTTTGTAAAAATAGCATAGCTTATTCATTATTCATTTTTCATCCCATTACTTCCAGTAGAAGTCATAGTGGACCCCAGTATTAAAGCAGAAATTCAAAGGATTTTTCACTCGTCTTTGCCAATGCATGAGGCCAAGCTGAACTGGGGCAAAAAAAAAAGAGAGGCACAGAATTCAAGAGCTTTCCTGTAAGGCATTTATTTACCTCACAAGCTTCAGTTCACATTACATACCTGTAATTCATTTATAGGTTAAGTTTTTAACCTGCACCATTAAAAAGAAAGCCAGCTTTAAGACCTAGTATGCTTTTTCTGGTCTTCATTATACATGTATAGTATTCCCTACCTCTGTGCACTCTTGGAAGTTCTTGTAAAGCTCCACTAGACTCTCTCTGGAGGCTTTGGTGGAAGGAGACAAGGAAAAGGCATGTTTCATATTCGCAGCGCCATCTCGTAGTCTGCACTGGATACAGTAAGCTTCATAGAGTTCCTCTACCTGTAAGATTTGGAGGGTAGGGGAAGAATGAACAAGAATTACCCCGGCAGATTTAGGAAGTTTTGGAAAGGAATATCAGCAGTCTTTCCTGGCAAAAGAAAAAACAAACAACAAAATCCCACTATCACAGCATTGCACAATGTTGCAGCTCCTGCGTTTTACAGACTGATAAGAGTGCTACAGTTTGTAGACATTCCTGCACAAAAGCATGGGATATTGAGAAACAATCAGCTCTGCTGCTATCAAGACTACAAGACAAGGAGTAGACTAACAATTCATTCAGGGAAAAAAATTGCTTGGACAGTAAGAAACCAATTCTGTCAATACAGATTAAAACACCTACAGCTATGTCAGGAAGGAGATTTCAATCCTTTGGAAGCAGAGGGCAGACAGCAGACATTCACTCCACAGGACTGCCCATTTGGCCCCTTGTGGGGAGGGAGGAGAACATGTAAGTCTCCTTGCAGCAGCATTTTCTGAATAAACCGACAGGGTATACAAACTGGTTTCACAGGCAAACACAGGTTGGGCTGTGCTCAACATTCAGCCTGAATCCAACCATTCAAGAAAATAAATAAATAAAACTCCCCTCCTCCTGTAAAAAGAGTGGTTACAGCTTTCAGGACGACCCAGCACTATGCCCCTTCAGGTGAATTAAAATATTTTCTGTTTAGACAGCTTGCTTATGTAGCAGTGCAAGATCTAAAACCCCCTTACCTTGCTTATGTGAAACTCCAGTTTTCTGATGTACCTCTCCACCAAGCGGATTTGCTTTTGAAGAAGGGAAAGAGAGGGTCTTGAGAAAGTTATTTCTTAAACATGCCTTTAAGTAACACAGCAGACACATCATCCATTCTTCACTGTTTGCAACATTTCATCTCATCCTCAATAGTCTTACCTTATCCAGGTCATAGTAGAAAGCCTGAAAGGAAAATAGCAGAGGCTGAACAGAAGAGCACGTGTATTTTGTACATATTAACGATACTTTCATATTGACTTAGAGACTCACAAGGCTTATCTGAAGTTACACTAAATTAAGATGCATTATTTACTACAAGGAGACATGCCAACATTTTTAAAAGTAGTTTCATTTTCTGTGCATGGTTGGTTGGTTTCTCTTTGCAGATGCTTTAAATGAGACAGTCTTGCTACCATCTATAACAAGGACCTGGACATTGGTGATGGCACATGGGAGGTTTTGGGTTTTCCTTTTTTTTTTTTAAATCTAGTTATTATTTCCCAAAGGAAAGGCAAAGTTGGATGTATGAGTTGTCTTTTCATTACCCCTGTCGCTGAAGGTACTTCCAGGTTGTTGTGAACACAACAGAATGAAGGACACATTCACCAGCTACTTAAAATCAAACCCAGTCTTTATCACCGTTTCTGTCCATCCAGAGTCAGTTCCTGAAGCCCCAGGTGTGAGAGAACATCTACTTTTGTGGCTTTATTTTTAAAGTATTTAAGTATTTAACCTTAAAAGCATCTTACCAATCTGGAGTTCCTTTTTGTATCTTTGTGTCGACCAGAAAGATAATCCAGTTCAGCCTGGTGTGCTTCCAAGTATTCACTGGAGAGGAATAAAACCCAGTGTTACATTCTTCTGGTGCATTCATTATAACACTCCCCAAAGAATTTTTCAACAGAAAGTTAAAGCAACATCCTTTGTTAGAAAACTTCTCTTGTTTTACTCTCTAGAGATATGAATGGCTATATAAAGGGATATGGCTCAACAGACAAGAAAGGGCATTTGTCTGTGGAAATCGCCCTAAATGCAAAGTCACTCCTCAAGGAGCATCTGTACACAAGTGCCAGAAGTTTCTGGTTACTTGTTGTCTAACATTTAAAGATGTTGTACATTAGGAATCCCCCTCAATATTTTTTACTCCTCCAAGATGTTGGATGCTACAGTGCAATTAAAGAAGGCCACCAACTCCATCTTACAAAGTCAAAGAACTGCAACAGGAAACACTTGAACTACAAAGCCAAGCTCACAGAAGTACTCCATATGTAAGGCAGGACATATTCAGTGTTTTAGCAAACAGCTGAATAGCACCTTTTAGTACATGAGAATTTCTTAATGTAACCATTACATTTTCCAGAATTAGAGCTATTTTGCAAGGTGTGAAGCAGCTGGTGCCAGTTGGCTTCTGGAGTTGCTTGCAAGCAAGGATTGTCCCTTAGGAGTTCACACAGGGACTTAACCTATTTCTTCTTAGACTATCTTCTTCCAACTCTGCTTTTAATACAGAGCACACTTAGGTAACTTTTTCCTCTTGTGCTTAAAAGAGAAAAAGAGTCACTTGGTAAATACTACATTATAAGACACAGTCTCTGAGCAGTCAAAATAACTTTGTGAAGAAGTGAAATTGTCTAAAACATCTGCTTTGATGCATTTACTTTTCTTACTGTTTAAAACCAGCTCCCCAAGACAGCCAGTGGCTCCAGCATTGAGTGGTCTGCTCTTTACACTTGCCTGTTAACGGCTCAGTGCAGAAGTAGCCAAGGCTGGTAGCAGAACAGAATTCACTTACCTTTTAGAAAAGCTTCCTCACTTTTAGATTTAAGTATGTTAGTATTGCCAGCTTGATTAAACGGTACCCAGATGGTTAACAGAAGAGTTATTTTCTATAGCTATAAAGCAGCAGGCACGTAAAACATGCTCTGTACTAAAAATTCAAATCACTCCAGCACCAAGTGGACTTAGTCTGCATCTACTTAAAATTTGGACTTTACATTGCTATTTGATACAGTTGTTTTCTGTAGGTTAGTCAATTAGCTAGCTCCTCAGTTTTGGCAGGAATCTGACCATGCGGCATTCACTGCAGAACTGGGAACAAATTCTGATTCACTTTATGGTTTCTCTTCCCTAAGCTCTGATAAATTCTAAACTCTGCAAAAACATTTGGTTTCACTATTTGATTTAAATCAAAATCCACTAATAAGACATTGACTGATATTTTTAGGGCTAAGACTTTATAGCCTTTTATCAGAACAAAAATGTGACACATCTAAGTTTATGATCTATTATTACACCACGTTTTATGTTCTTTGCTTAAGAAAACAAACTATGATACGAATTAATATAGTAGCAAAATTTTGAGGACAGCAGTAACATACGTGAATTAGTAACATACTGTTAGTAGGATGCCAGCAGAAAGAGCTACTGTGTTTACAAATCCAAGGAGAGGTATTTTATATTCCCACAGGTACTTCAGGGTGTAAGTATTCCTACAATATTAGACCAGATCCATCAACATCAACTGTAAAGATGCAAAATGTGTATTTTGATATAAAAAGATTTGAGGACTCAGTTAAAGGTTGATGAGTTTCAACCACTGATGGAGGCAAACAGCACTTACCACACTTCCTGCCTGGTTTATAATAGCTGCCATATCAGCATTCCTATCAGGTAACTGACAGCTTCCCCAAAGCCAGAATACCCTAAAATCAGCCCATCCTTTGAACTCTACTGTGCCTGATGCATGCATCCCACTTCTGCCAGATGGGAGACAATGGACAAAATTGGTCTTTGGCCTTTTCACTGAAGTCTGTACTGATGCAACATTTGCTATGCATATAAACCATAAAAAAACAGTGCTACATTTAAAGCAAGATAATGTTATTTACATTGCCATAAGAAGATGGAGCTGTACTACAGCTCTGTTTCATCACCTCAAGTCAGCTGAAGTTTTCAGGTGGATCTGCTTAGACCTTTCCCTTACAACAAGGCACACAGAGAGGAAAGAGTACTTCTGAACTCCAAAGCTGAAGTCTATTAAAACAAAACCAACCAAACAAACAAAAAACCCAACCCACAAGAATATCTAGCTCTAATTAGCACAGGGAGAATAGGAACAGTTTATGAACCAGCCTCCCACTGTGTCCTTGCAGGACACACCCTCACTTTCAGACTTGGTCTTAAGTCAGTTTCTTGAGTCAAAGCAACTCGACACAATTCCATTTCCAGAAGCATTCTGCCAATCACCCCCCAGATCTGGCTCTCCCATCCCTATCCAAGTCTCTCCTTGATCTGCAGACTTCCTGCCTGCCACCCTGCATGCTCTGAAAGCCTCCCTTCCTCAAGGGAGGACTCAGTTGCTCCCGAAGAGATGGGGAATCTCCCTACAGAGTTTGATCTGTCACTGCCTTTTCAGAGAACTGTTACAAGCTAGGAACAAACAAAAACATCACAGCATTTTGTCTGCAAGCAGACTGTCTGAGAATGAAAGAAACTTGTTATACAAGGTCTCAAGCCAGTGTCTGGGAAAGTCATTACATCTGTTTAGAGATGGAGACAGAACAGCGATATACAGACTTAAGCAGCACGACTGGGTGAGGCAAATTACAATATTTGAAAAGTCCTTACTTAAGTCCTTTCTTCAAAGCTTCAAAAATTTTCTTCACCTGCAGTGGCTTTGGATCCCAGATGACTGCCCCTTTCTGCAGGGAGTTATAAGCCTTGGGGGATTTCAGTGACATTCTTGATCTCACTGAACTTCTGCCGAGAGACTTTCTGTAGAAAGAGAAAAGAAATACGGGAAAGATGCAAACCCTATGACCTAGGAGAAAAGATACCTAAGCCACAAGGCTTCCAGGCTACAAGTTGTATGTCCAATCCCATATACCTTTACTCAAAAGAGCAGAGAAAACTTTCACAGATAACATTAGAAAGTTAAGGCAGAAAAGTTAGTGCAGAAAAGCTGCAAGCTTTCTGTGGCTTCAATAATAATAATTTCACTATAAGAAACATCTCCTTCTCCAAGCTTGACGCAGACTCCAAGAAGCCTCCTGGTTCTCTCTTTTACCCTTTTTCAAATAAAGAAGGATCATGCATATCCCTATTTCTTCAGGAAGGAGGGGGGGGAACACAGCAAGCAAGAGAAAAGATTTTTATAATGGCTAATAACAACTTCATGCTCGTACTGATAGCAGTCATCTTAATGGACACACATGGAAGCTAGCTAAGGCCCTGTTTCTGTGTGCACATTCACACCAGTTGTTGGGTCAACTATGGAATTAGTCAAGTAAGCCACGCTGCAGGACAAAGACATTCCCATTCTGCACCTCTCAAGTGTAGAGACCTACAAGTCAGGAAAACAAGGCAACAAATTTTTGAACTCCTCAAGGCCTAAGCACAAAGTTAACATAAAAAGCCTTTAGAATTAGCTATTTCTTTGCCTGCATTCACCATCGATTTAAATGATGGCTTAGAGCCCTACCACATTTTAGCAAAGCAAACTACCAAGCCCAGATTGCATACAAGACATAATTATCCAGATTGCACACAAGATAGAATTATCAAGGTGTTTTTTCAGTGTCCAACACCTCATTTCCTTTTAAAAGCAACTGCAAAACCAAAACTAAATATTGTTTCTAACAGAAGTCCCATGCACAGGATTTTCTGTACTAACCTAAAGAGTTAAAACACCCCCATTAGTTCTATACATCTACAATATTTAAAACACAAAATAAGTGTTCTGCAAATAGTTCTTTCATATTGTCAGATTCCTGCCTGCCTAACCTCTATATATACACTCCTCTAAGTCTTAGCTATTTTTGTATAGTTTTGTTATTAATCTCTGTAAGTCAAGACTCTAAAACAACATTACCTAAAGAAGTTTCCCATTCTTCCAAGCCAAGCCAACTGGCTGCTCTTAGAGAAGCTTTCCACCTTCTCTACGCTCTCCACCCTAAATCCAGCACACCTGAAGAAATGATGAACCTCAACAAGCTTAATACTTTGCCACTGGCTGGTTTAAGTTCTAAGCATGTGACTGGAGGCCTAAGGATATTGAGCTTGGTGATTAAATCCTAGGCCCACCACACCTGAGGGCAATCCCAGTCCAGTTACAGAAACCCTTGAGTAACTACTTTAATTACCCTGGTGCTACATTTCCACTTAACTCCATTTTTAACATATAATCCACCAAAAAATCTGATAAAATTAGGGGTTGCCAAACATTACTGGACATGTAATTTCTTCACCCTGGTGATTACCTTGGTTTTTATGATGGCTTAATGTAAAGCATTAATTAACCACACCATTTGGAGCTCAGGTTACCTATAATGAGGAACATAGCTGTCAAGTTAGAAACCTACATTGTTTTCACTGAGCATTCCATGCAAAGCAAGAGGATTTCAACAGGAATAACACTGGAAGGGACAGTCTATCCAATAACAGCAGCTGAAAGAATCTCCTAGAAGGATCATTACTTAAGATTCTTTCATGCAAAGAAGGAAATAGCATCCAGTTCCACGCTCTAGACGAGTGCACTATTTAGCAAGATATCATATGGAAGATACAAGATAATGCTATCTTTCAAAATTAAAAAGCCCAAATTACTCCTGTGTTTTGTCAGGTTTTGGGAAGGAAAGGACTTTGATATTTACCTTCACAGTTTTGGATAGCAAATCTTAAATTCAGGAAATCATTTCCTTCAGGTGAAAATACAGCATCTAAGCATGGATAGGTTGGGATTTAAAACTCACTGTTTTCCTCAGTATCTCCACTGACTGATGCAGCCCATACATACTCAGTGCACTGATGTTAAGAATCCCATTTTCATACATTTCCTAGAAAAGTGAAGTGGCTGACAAAGGCCTTTAGGGACAGCAGCTATAAGCTAGATGCTATGCTGCTGCTTTCCCTTGGGAACTTAATTTAAATATCAGATTTCACACTTTATAGATAACAGTAATAACATTTGCTTCCTGTAGAGACCATTGTAAAGAAAAATGAAATAGTGTGTCTGACAGAGAGCCTCAAAAGGAAATTGCTAAAGAAATGCAAAAGTATATTTAGCGTCTGCTTAAGAATCATCTCCATGTGGACCTGATTTGTGTGTCATCTTTTGGACAGAGCTTGCATAGGGCCCCTGCAATCTCCTGCTGTGTTTTGCAACAGTGCCTGGAGGAGAGATAAGTTAGGAAAGGGTGATTAAAAAATTTCTTCACTATGCTGGGAAAGGCTTTTGGGTGTTCACTGGGCTGTGACTGAGCATTCAGTAAACAAATTTTCCTTCTTGTGGTGATTCCTGAACAAAACTGTCTGTCTAAGCACTTAAAATAATGAAAAGCAACATCATAAACCAAAATGCGTAGAGAGGCATTTTGCAGCTAAAAGCAACAGAATAGTCTTAAGGGACGTATGAACTCTTCTGTTTGGAGCATTCTTACCCCACTGGACTGTGCCTTTGTTGAAGAAACAGCTGTTCAACAGTTTTCCTGGTAAATCCTTTCCCTGCTAGAACTCTCACTATGGACTTGAGCTCAAGTCTGTTTCTATAATTTAATGTCAGTGTTTTTCTCAAGCCCTTAGTGATTGGTGTGATTTAGCTGTCCAGCCTTTGCTAGGTGTAGTATTATCTTTCAGCTTCCACAACAAATTAATTTAGTGAAATGTGAAGACTTTTTCTTGCTGGAATTGCGTTTTTGCTCATGCATTACCATGCTATGTTTAGCTGAAAGCTTAATTCAGCCCTTTGGTTCTTTGAAAAGATATTTTATGACATGAGTCAGGTTTTTTACTGGCACACAACAGGATTTTTTTGAGTACAATACTTCTAGAAGCATACTTTCCAATGCTTCTATATGATACTGCTAAATGATTCACTTTGTTATTATTCTAGCATGCATTGGCAGTCAGAGATTATATTCATTTTCCATTTATATGTCATATCTTTTAAAAGCACTTGACAGCCTATAGAGGGATCAGAAAAAGAACAAGAGCACTTCTAGTGGAAAAGCTGCAGTTATCTGCATAGAGCAGTGCTACACAACAAGTTATGATAAGCAAAAGGGAAGAACAGTGCAGGATGGTTTAGCAATTATGCAACTCAACTGAAGACTTAAAGACTGGACTGCAACCTTGGCTATACGATAGACCTGTTACTGATAGCAGTGAATTTGCAGTGGTCTTCTTGGCCTCTAGTATTGCTCCCTTCCTCTCTTTTGTGGCATTGCCAGAAAGCAGCCCTTCCTCTCACGTAATGCTGCTCTCCTTTAATAACTCCACGGGAACTTGAGTTGGGTTCAGTTACATATTTTGCCAGGACTCACCACTAACATCCCCACCTTTATAAAAGTCTATGAGATTTTTAATTACCACAACTACCCCCAAGGTTTTAGTCAAAAAGCATCAGTTACAACTAGGCTGCTAGCAGGAAAGGTCACGTAAATGGACACTATTAATAGTCTGATACATAGATTCTGAAACCCAGCCATTTCTGGAGTACAGTGTGTGTAAGATAGTGAGGTGTGAAGTACAGCTATTTATCAGTGAGCCATGACAACACTCAATAGTTTTAAGATAAAAATGAAGGAACAACTTCTACACATAGATACCCTAGGTTAAACAATACATTCACAGTCCCTAATGTCTGCTGCCCAGACGATCAGGTGCTTTACTTCTTGTGTTACTTACGCCAGTTTTCTGCTTTGCACAGTGCTGAAGCCAGTGAAGGAACAGCTCCTGCTGATACCACCCCCATCACCGGGGGACACAAATGTGAGTTTGACTGACATGCCTGCCAGTCAGTAACTCCGTCAGCTTCTGCAATAAACAGAAAAACAGATGAGAAAAAACCTTCTTGGCAGTCCTGGTTTGTGGTGCTGCAAGTGCTGAGCTGCATGGAAGTGGAAAGCCAAACCAACAGACAATAGATTAAATAGAAAAACAAGACCTGTCTGCTATACACGTTTCCTCTGTTGTCATCCACAATACAATTAATAAGGGACTGAATAGTCTAAAATGAAATCTCCTATGCCCTCTTCAATTTCTGACTGATTTTACAAACTCTCTATGTAAAGCCAGATTAGCCTCAATTCACAGGCTCTCTACATTTCTGTAATTGTCCCACTGCTTAAGGAGTTCAGGCCAACCACTATATTTCCAAATCGTTATGTATGCCAGCACAATACTTAAGCTCCAGACTTAGTCAGGTCCAAAAAAGCAGTTCTTTGCATCTGTGCAGACCCACACTGAAGTCAATGGTAGAACTGGCTGAGCGTGGTACTTAAGCCCAAGGCAGAAGTCTAGTTTCAACAGTAAACTTCAGGTTCATACTCCTCCTCTGCCAGGATTGCTCTTGGATTGCTGTCCTCTGTTTTCCATCAGTCAAAATCTTTTGCTTTCTGGAGAATTGTGTTTTCTGCCATATGTCTATAGAATCCAAGTTACAATATAAGTAACAGACATATCCTTCAAGCAGCTGTAGAAAATCACCCAGACAGTTAATATACAGAAAAATTCCCTTCCTTCCCCCCTCAAGCTGGTGTAACGTAAACACCACAACTGAGTAAAACCAAGTAAAACAAAAAGCTGGAGTATCTATTTGTAGAGAGAAGCACAAACTCCAGTGAAGAGCTCTACATGATGCACACAAAAATGTCCTGCACTACAGAACGTGCTCTGAAAAACAGTGAGCTCCTAATCTATCACAATAAATACTGGAAAGAAAACCCTGTGCCTGACAGTATCCCATCACTATGGCTACAATTAGTGAGACTAGAAGCCCAGAAATGTCAAAATGTTAAGATAAGACTCTTCTCCTGGCTCTGCCACTAACTTGGAGAGCAACCTAACTCAATACTCTTCCAGACTGCATATAAAGAATTGTATGGTTAAATATACCTCCCAAGAGGGGTGAGATTTGAGAGTGTTTTGCTAATTCTGGGCTAGTCTACAAGTAGAGGGAATTACTTACTGTAAGTGACTATGCTTTAGGTATCACTGTCTACCAAAGCAGTAACAGAAGTTGTAATGGATTTCCACAAGCAGCAATCTTGCAGTGAGACCTGCCTATTTCATTAGCTCCCTGGGCTGAGGCCTAACACTCCATTGTTCTACAGGCTTTGCCAACCTATTAATCCATCTGTGAAATACAGTCAGAAGATTTAAGAGCAAGAGGTAATAATGACAAATCTGAGCCAGCTACCTGCTTTGCAAGCTACCTAGTTGTCAAAAGAGGTGTTGGGCATGGCTAGGCATTTTGTATCTCAGTCCATCGAAATCTACATAACTCCATAGCTTCAGCAGTATCAATGGAAATCCGTTACATGGAAAAAATTAGATGCCTCTTAATCACCTTTTAATCAAACTGTACAGCACTTATGTTCTCTTGCTTCGAACGGATGCCTCCTCTACACCCTTAATCAGAGACTGTACTTGCATCATATCACAGCTGAAGTTTTGAAATATTTTCCATTCTTTCCTCTAGTTTTCCACTGCTTGTAAGCCTGTGAACAGTCACCCCATCAAAAGGATCATTAGACTGAAAAAAAATATGCAACTTACTGAAAAATGTAATTGCATAACAAGCAGCCAAAAGAAGAAATAAAGGGAATAGCCTCATGGTTATTGACCACATCCCTCATCATGGCTAAGTCAGATTCCCAAGATCTGTTCTTCAGCTCTCTAACCTGGGAAACTTAGTTCATGGGTAAAAGAGGAAGGAAGTGCAGGAAAAGCTTTCCTGATTTCATAGAACTCCTAAAGCCTGCATAGCACAACACTGAAAGCATGTAGACAAGGAACAAACAAAAAGAGGCAGACCCTTGAGAGGCTCAGAAAGTGGAAAATGATGAGGAGACTCCCGAGGTAAAACTCTGTGGTACAGAGCTCTAGATGTGAAACATTAGCTTGGAAATGTACAGACCACCCAAAACTCCACTGGTGAAAGAAAAAAATTGCTTAAATTGCCTAGACTTGATCCTGTTGCACACATCTTTATAAATCAAATAGAGCTCTCCAAGAAGATGTGCTGTTGCAAATGAGAGATGAACTGGACCTCACTTGTCCACAGCCATAAGCATTTAAAAATTCTCATGGGATGTTTGTTGAACTGCACAATGCTCAGGCCTCAAGGCCACTGACCGGGTCACGTCCTCCTGTAGCTACTTCCAAAAGCAATTCATAAGCACATTTTCACGTCTCCTTCTTGTAAGAATGAAGAGAATTTAAATAATGTTAGGAAAGCACCATTAAAGGGGTTATCTTTCTTTCTTTGAAATAACAGCAACGGAGTCAAATACCACTTGTATGTATTTTTTGTAGCGACCTACAAATCTTACAGCTCACTTCACACTTCTGAGTAGAAGACCATAAGTAGGATGTCAAGACAACATTTTATTTGTAAGAAAGATTTATAAATGCGGTTGTTTAAACAGAGGGTTTTGCTAGCCAGAGTGTCTGTACAGAAGTGTTGAGCTATGTTACAACTGCTCCTGAGAAAAAGCATCTGGACACATCTCAAATTCAACTCTCCCTTTAGGCTAGAAATAAATCAGGTAAGGACCTCTGACAAAGCTGAGTTCAAATCTGTCTTCAAACCTGCAACCTCTGCTGCGCAGGGCAGTGTCTCCAACTCTCATAAACACAGGGATTATACCCTGGGGAGCAGAGGAACTTCCTCTCTTTTAATCTTCCCCAAAAGCACAGTGTGAATACAGTAGCTATCATGGCTGGCATTTGTACAGCATAAAAATACCAGACCAAACTGGAGGAGTCTATTGCTGGGGCAAGAGAAACACTGAACTACTGATAAAAACAAAAGGAGTCTTGAAAAAGCCTTACAAAGCTTGTGAGTCTCAAGCAGATCTCCCAGCTACCACATACGAATTGACTCAAACACTTTAATACAAAGGATTTTGTAAGACTGAGAATTCAGGTCTCAGAAATGTATTTCTAATACAAATCAAATGAGCATTTTCTTCAAATTAAAAGAGTATGTTTGTCCCTGTTTCAGTGATTTGCCATATTAAACTATTAGCATTTAACCTGCAGTGTTACCAAGTATCCAGGCACACAGAGCCAAACATTTGACCTTCTATGCAGCCATGAGCACGCTCAAACTGCATGGTCTGCTTTGTCTCTGTTGGTATTAGGATATTCCTCAAGCCAAAGGACCTTCATCCTCCACAAACAAAAAACTGGTGTCTGTTTGTGTTTATGGCTAAACTTTTCCAGCCCTAGTCACATATTTAATTGTTTCTGGGCACAATGGTTTCAGCAATTTTATGAGGAAAATATGACTCATTGACTTCTTGCAAAATATTTCTGCTTGTGTTTTGTATTTTGAATTAGTAGGCATGTTTTTCTTTTAGTACCTCCAAGAGGTTCACTTGAACTTGGTAAACTGTGGCTAGAGTAAGGTATTCACATTTGCTTCAGATGTATAATATTTCAATCACGAGTGACCAGTTGGTTAAGAGCCACACTCTTGTTCCTAGCTGTGTGCCTACAAAAACCGTACCAGATTTCTGATTCCTTCAGCTAAGCGTGGATGCACACATCGAGCTGATAACCCAGGTACATGTGGCCACGTATCTCACTAGTGTCAGTACTCGCTTCAGCAAGCAGCAGCTGCAACATAATAAAAGCCAGTTTGAAACCACATAAATTGTTAGCCCCCATAGAAAATAAACACAGCGACTGTACACAAACTATCAAATGTCGATCACTTCAATGTCTCAGGATCATGTTTGTAATTTGGGATATGTTATGTGATTATAATTTGTCCAACACCACCCGATGTTAACTTTCATCTTACTTTTTTAGACTATTGTTGTTAGTTTTATACATAATTTTATTTGTAAATATTACCTTAGCTCTACCCGGAAGGGCAACAGAGCCACTTTGTCTTCTACTTGTGGAAGCCGAGCAGAGTTGATTTAATTTTGTATTAACACCGCATAATCCTTTCCTCAGTATCAGAGGTGCTCAACGTTTTAACGGAGGGACTGCAGCATTGATCCTAAAATATGTGGCTTATATTTGTGCCTGTACGGAGAATCCTCTGAGATAGTGGATTTTTGTATAGCATAGTATATAGATTTTATTGTAGGATTGCCACCTGGAATCTATGTCATTTTAGAGCATGGTTTTATAAAATTGCTCCATAACAGCCAAATTTGCTATTAATGTCTATTGGTTCTACACCATTTCTACTGAAACTCGATTTTCACTGTATCTACCCCAAGTCAGTAGTGATTAAGCAGATGAACGTTTAGGGACTTCAGAAACATTCTCTACTTACTCTAGCAATGATCTGTGATTCCAACTTTTTATCTGCTGTTTCAAAAAACCCTGCAGTCAAAGGTGCTAAGTTACTTTTCCACTTCCCTGCATTTATTATAAACTCATCACAACAACTGTTTTGCTGTTATAACTGCATCTGTATTGGAGTTTTAGCTGATACAAATATATACTGCAAACACAATAGGTGAAAAGACAACCTTAACATAATTACACCGGAGAATTTCTAGCATAAGTCAAATTTAAGACTAACTTTGCAAACTGGACTACATTTGTCTACCATCACATTGATGTGATCACAATGTTTTTTTCCATCTCATTTATTTCAAAACTCAGGCACAATGGAATTAAGTAACCCTTCTGAATGCTTATGATGGGTGGGATCCATTTCAAAACACTTGCGGCAGACAATGGCATTTGAGTCTTTCATGACACTGATAAAGAAAAAGAAATCAGATTATCACAATGTATTACAATAATGTAAAACACTTTGGACAAAGTCTCAGGGCTGATCTGGGCCTGAATCACTGAAGCTTCTTGTGATTTCAATGTACCACGGAACAGTCTGGAAATCTCCAGACTTTGGCACTTAATTTGCAGTGTTGGATATCTAAAGAATCCAGACCACTACATTAATGAAACTCCTGAGATGTGATAACATCATAACTTAGCCCTAATACCTCTAAAGGCAGATGTAATGAAAGCTTACTGAACAAAGAATGAAGTGACCAGCTTGTGTACAGCACAGTGTTGAATCCACTGGGAAAATACACACTGCATTTAATCTTTGCTCTTGAGCATTCCTTAGAAAAACCATTGACCTCAGCAGCAATGTCTATGTTGCTAGATAAACATTCCAAATTTATGATTAAAACCCCTTAAATTTTAAGCATTTTTGTTCAATTGTTAGACAAACATGCTATTTATACACTCATTGGCAGAAGTAAGAAAAAATTCTCTGGTTATTCTTCTAGAGATGAAAAGTCATCTGAATTAGGGACACTGAAAGTGCCCTTGATGCTACACCTCAATACAGCTGTTCTAACACAGCTTTACATTCAAATACAGATCCTTTCTTCTGGTAAATCCTTTCTGTGGAAAGTATTCATAACACAAGGATTCACAGCAGAATCTGAAAAGGTTTTATGTAATTCACTTTAACATTGGAATTCCAACCTGTGGGAACACAGAAAGGGGAAGAGCCACTGCAGTTACATTTTCATCTCACCCTACTCATCTTTCTCCCTGCTGATTCCTATAAATAAAAATAAATAGGAATAAAACAATGTAGGCAGATGAACTTGTTCAGCTGCCTTTGTAGAAAAATACAATCCCTGCAGGAAACTATCTCCTACCCTACAGCTACCTACTGTTTAGCTATAGTGCTGTGAAGACCACCAGATACAGCTGTACAAAGCCATGAACAACCATTCTTCACTCACTGACACCAAACGTTTCTCATAGAATCACAGAATACCAGGTTGGAAGGGACCTCAGGTATCATCTGGTCCAACCTTTCTAGAAAAGCATGCTCTAAACTAGATGTCCCAGCATGACTAGATCTCCTGGAGGAATGGTTTCATGCTGTTTCCAGCATGGAATTATTTCTGCTGGTTTAAGACCAAGCAGGGTGAGAAATTACATAGCAATTCTGCTATGGTGGAAGATTTTGCTTCTCTACATATCTACATGTGTCCCATAGAACTTACTGGCCTAAACCTGTTTAACCTAGATTATTAGATGGGCCCTTTACTTTGTACCAAACTTAGATCTGAGGGGTTGTATTTTGAAAGTCTCAAATGATTCAGGAATATAATCCCATTCTCAGAAGTAATTTAGGCTCTTAGGAGGTAGTTAAATTGTTTTTTAGTAAGAATTACATTCATAGCTTACACTATTTAGAAAGATGGGGCTTCAGTGTGTAACTCCTTTTGGTACTTTTGCAGATTTTATCTAGGCTGATTCAACTCTTAAATATATATTTCAATACTGCATATCTGACATAGTTTCCTCCTAGCCACATTCAAGCTAGGTATGAATAAAAGGAAAATCAGATAAACAGCTTTGATCCAAGTTATTGCTTTAGTCATTAGGCCCCTCCTATAGCTTTATGGCAGCTTCTGGAATGAAGTTCTGGAGTCCAGGTTTCCTATGCAGCAATAAATAAAAATATCATAAGCAGTCCCCTCAGATATCTTCCCCTGTGCTGGAGGTAGTGTCTCTGATGTAACCATTTTTAGCGTGGTTCTTTGAACACAGGACTTAACTTTCAAGTCCAAGAGACCTGCTTTTCAAGCCTGTGATTCAAAACCTTACTGTATTTCTAATTAGCTTTCATCTAAGCATACAGATCCAAGTTCTATTCTCAGTGACAGTGGTGCACATCCAGAGGAAATTAATCGGTCATTTGTTCCAGATTTCCAGTAGAATCCGGGCAGCAAATGTTGGCCTGGGCTTAGTTAATGACCTGGAAAGTATTTTCAAGACATAATTTTGTGGTCAATTTTGTACCTCCCTCTAGTGGCAGCAGATATCAAACAAATGAAGCACAAAGGAGACCTTGTCACGGATCACACACTGATGTATTGTGCCTATTTCTTTCATCGAAATTTGTTATCCGGAATCAAGGTTGGCTGCAAATCCCACTGTAACTTTTTTTGGTTATGTTGTAGGAAGAAAAGAATCAGTGGTTGCACATAACCTGAATCCTCATTTACTTCCTTTGCCAGTATGTGGCATATTCATACAGCCCCATGTAGTTTCTCCATGCTCGCCTACATCATAGCTCTTCTAGGGTCTGTGAGTACTTTTGCACTGAGTTTTGATTTCCACCTCAGGGGAAGGCACAGAACAATTCACCCATTATCAGCTGATTTATGAGCATAGGGCTTGCTGCTAGCTCCTCTGGTTTCAATTTCCAACTTGATGACAAACTTGCAAGCCTGAATCAGAGATTGAGGAATGTGGCAGGCTCCACACGCTAGCCTGACTTGCAGCTTTTTCAGTTTTGGCAGCATTGGAGTCTGCAGTTAGCTACATTATAATGAATACTTAAAAACAAATTCCTAACAAGAGAAGAAGCAGATGGCGCTGAGGGAGAGCAATTTACAAGTGATGAACAGGCTCTTCCATTTCTGACAAAGGAAAATTTGCCTAGCAGCAAGGCACTGATTCCTACCAATTCTGTCCTGGAGAGGTTCCTCCTTCTTAATTAGGAACCCCAAGGAACATTCTTGTGTAATATATATTTCATTCTCCTTGTTTTCTCCAATTATGCCTGAATGTAAGCTACAGATAGACTTATCAGGTGCGATCATGTCTCCATCCACACACCCTTCTAATGCAGAAGCCTCCTAAAAGGCCATTTCCAGGTCAATTATGAAATAAGGAAGATCCTTTACCTCAGCCTTATGCTTGCGGAAAGTCCCTAGTCTAAGCTTCAATAGAAACCACCATGCTGGATAAAATACATGTTTTGATTATTACACTGAGAAGACTATATTAACCAAAACAGATGACAAACTTCCACTAATAGTGAAACCTGATGTTCAACAGTATGTGGGATGTAGTTTGATATCTTCATAAACTGAAGGCTGTGAATCACAATATACTGGTATGTGTCCTGGGGCAAGCTCCTGATGTGGGAGAAACTATCTGTCATTTAGCTGTCTGATCAAGAAAATTGTACCTTTATTAAGTATTAAACCATTAAGTCAACTTCCTATTTCAATCATGTTTTATTCCCATAAATGCTACTGAGACAATCTTATGCCACAGAAATAATGAAGTTTCAAAGTTAAGATCAGTATCCCAAAGAACACTGGAAAAAGAGGAAAAGTACACAAAAAGTCATATAAAAGGGGAATAGGAGAGAAAATATTTTATGTTTTAAATCAAAGTATTTTCTTTAATGCTGTGTAGACACAGACTTAGTTTTTTCAAAGACAGTATTTCCATAAACTGATTAGTGACTCTTGATGCCTCTCTTAGAATAATGAAAATGGGTGTATTTTTTGGAAAGAGATACCAAAATCAAGACAATTTAGAATGCCTCTCACCGACCAGCTAACACCAGTGTGTTTGAACATTTCATCCAGGCTGAATTTACACTGTTATCTTCTAACACAGGCTTGAACTCATTATATTTTCTACAAATGAGGGCAGCTGTCATAGCAATCCTAACACTATGTTCTGCACTAATGTTCCCTTTCTGTAGACACTCAACAAGCATGTAAACTTGTGGAAAACTCCCAAGAACCTTTGAATACATGTGGATATATCTTTCCCTGTCATTCCTGACCAATTCCTAATACATATGCTCTGACATTCATGCCCCACATTTTTTATGGTGTTATTCCCTGCTTTTATTTGGTTTGGGTTTGTTTTTAATGAGGTGAACTTTGCACAGCCCAACTCTAGCTCCTATAAAATCTGTGTCTTAAATAACCAGATTTAGTGATTTTTGTATGGAAAAAAAAGGCCTACATACTAACCACACAGCTGTACTTGGAAACAGATGTTTTACCAGCTTTAAACTGAACTAATGAGGACAGGAATATGGAACATATAGGTCAGGAAAACTCGTGTCTCGATTTTGAATTCAGAATTAAGGAGAGAGAACATAAAAGACTGGTGCTTCCACATAAGGGGAGGGGAGATGGATGGTAATTGCACTGATGATGACAATTTGCACTGCTGCACTAGCCTCAAGGCACTTCCACTTTACAGCCTTGCTCATCCCATTGTCAGTCCTATTCACTTAACTCACAAAAAGTATCCCATAGTGAGCAGGCCAGATCCTCAGTTTTTATGAAGTCCAGGATTGTGCTGTGCCTCCTTTGCGTTTAGCAGGCATGAAAAGACTCTTAATACATTTTTCAAGACTTCTGTACAACATAAAGTAGAATAATTAAATAGGATCAGATGCTGTGAAAACAGTAACTTCTGATAGAAATTTGACTAAACATGAATTTTTTTAAACTAACTTTGCCTATCAATGTGACCCTGAAATATAGTGTCTCCTGCTGCTAGCTTGGAAACAGATAAGGTTTTTAGGACCACCGCTTCTCTGTCCAATCTTGCTCCCATCATAGTCACTGGGAGCACTGCCGTAACTTCAGAGAGAGGCCAAACAAGATCTCTGTAGTTATGATTTGGAGCTCACACTGGAAAAATGCATTAGTGATGGTTTGCTATAGAAAAGATGCTTCAGGTTTTCCCTCTAGTTCCTTGCTCAAGCTTCTTTACAAAACTATTCTTGATTTGTCTTTATATGCTCATCATCGGTACACTGCCTTGCAGTATACAGCGGGTCCCTTGACTAAGTCACAGCAGCAAAGAAAGAATCTTTTGCTGTTTAAGGCTTTTTTAGACAAGGTCATTACATGCAGAGGAAACTGGGTTTAGTGGGGCCCTAGTTCCCCAGGGCACTACCATAATATAAATTATTAATAATAAAAATAAACATTGGCTAGTTTGAACTTCTCTTCATTCCTTTAGAGCTTATTTTTGTGACAGAATTAGCTAAATAAAGCCCACTTGAAAGAATGTTTAATTGCAAACTATCCAAACAAAACAAAATGGAACTAATTGGTTCTTAAATACTAAGCATTCAAAAGGACATGGCTTTGCAAACAGGCAGAAAACTAATGTATATTAGGATACATATGGTGAAGTGAGCAGTTAAGCAAAATGCCGTTTAAACTGAACTACATTTACTTTTAAACCAGATATTCAAGTTTTGTCAGTGTGGTTCTGCTTAGAAGACAGCTTTGGATTATTTCAAGCCTAAACAGAATTGAAGTAGTACTCTTTTGCCAAATTTAAAATCAGAAGAGTCAAATTTGTGCACTGCCTTCTGGGCCTAGTTTGCCAGGAAAGACTACTCCACCTACAATGATCATTTACTCCATGGAGTGCCCCTTAAACCTGTTTTAGCCATAAAAGATAGCTTAGTAAAGACTACTGTTTCAAGTGCTTTATCTAAAGGACTTGGGTAGGGAGAGTTCACATAAACAGTTCTGACAACACATCTCTAAAGGATAGCGGTGATGCCTTCTATCAGAATAACTGATTGCAGATCTGCCTTGGCCTTTATGAGCTTCCTTCCTTCGGCCCTCTGTTTTTGTTATTGCTATATAATTCAAATATTTCACAATCAGCAAATAGAGAGTGGCTGTTTGGTCATATTCATTAAAGGTTAATAAGTTGCCACATTAATTTCTTAAATCA